ACAGAAAATGATAATCTACAGAAAGTAATCCCTGGGTTGTTTTCCACAACATTCATCAAAAAAAAAGAGATTTGGCGTCTCTGAAGTTTGTTAACTTCTACTTAGCATTTAAGGTAGAGATTAGAGATTAATGAATTTTTAAACTGTGCTCATTGCCCTTCTCTGATTGTTTGAACCATTTTGAAGTTGTTGTTGAAGCGCCCCATATGTGACTTGGTTGTTTGCAGAATGGGGTAACCCAGAAGATATTCCATCAATTTATTCGGGAATCCGAACTGGTCTCACACTCAATAATCACCTCATCTATCGACCACCTCTAATCAAAAATAACAAGGAGTTGTATTCATCGATGCGTACAATATACACCGACTCGAAATGGCTCTTTGGTAAGTCCACTTCCTCACAGTTTCAAGAAAATTGCACGGCGGAGCTTCGGCGTGACCAGCTGAGAAACACAGGCAGAACAACTCCTCTTTACATGACTTTTCAACATGTCATACGACTTATACCACATTAACAGCCCTACTGTTTTTCGCATCATAATCCATTAGCTTCACATTAAAATTTAGGGTTTTCGTCATTCCGTATTTTCCACGTTTCGGACTGACTGTTGCCTTAGAAATTATGATTCAGCCTACCAACGACCGCAAAAAATTTTTTGTCAGTTTAACCCACTTCGGTCGCCCCCACTTGAATCGTCCGCTTCTGTTTCGGCCTTCTAATAGCTGTTATTTATCATTTCAGTCCATACTAAATCTTTCGATTTTGGGGGACTTCAGGTTCCTCGTTGCTGCATGCACACGCCATCGCTTCGCAGTCCGTTTGGATGGTCGTTACTTTTAATTTTTTTTGTTTTGTTGGTAGAATTTGGTCATGTGGGACCGGTTGTGACCTTGTCTCGCGCTATGCTCTGTATAATTTCTTCGTGGAAATTAGCCTTCTGGTGCAGTTTTTGAATGTGATGCCCATTGTGAAATTGTGGGGCAAAATTGCTTCTTGTATGTGGACGTGTCCATCTCTCACATCCTTTACTTTTGCTGAGTTTCTTGGTCATTTTTAACGCATCGTTGTTTTTTTTCTTCAGAGCCGAACTTTGTTGCATCGTTCAGTATTGGCAAATTTGTTTACTTCTTTTTCCGCGAAATTGCCATTGAGCATGAAAGTTGTGGCCGAGTTGTTTGTTCCAGAGTTGCTCGAATTTGTAAGGTATGTTGGAATTTTTTGCCAATAATCCCGAAAATACAAATATAAATTTGTTGTAGCCTATTAAATTTTGTTTGTTTACAGAAAGATATTGGTGGAAAGAACGTACTGCGACAGGTGTGGACAAGTTTTGTGAAGGCCCGCTTGGATTGTTCAACTTCGTCCAGCTCGCCTACTTTTTTCAACGAAATTCGTATGCCTTCCTCTTTTATTGTATAATGCCTATATATCTTTTTCATTTTTTTTTCAAAGAGCAAGAAATTTTGCTGCTTCGAAGTCACCAGGACGTTTCAGCTCTGCAGCTTTTCTGGTTGCCAAGTTAACAATTCTCCCGCCAAATCTTTCACGTGCTTGTATGCAAGAATCACGCATACCTGAAGGCTGGATTTGAAGTATTTAAGTTGTACTTGGACAAGGTTCATCTCCCCAAATCGAGAGCATCCTTATCCAAACTCTTCGATCCCCAAACCAAATATCTCAATTTAATATCCAGCACAACTCAGCGTAAATTATTTAATTGTTTCAGAATCATTGCAACGTGTTGATGGGCAATCGGATACATTGTTCTACGCTACTCTAACAACACCAGATATCTCGTTTGGTGGCAGTGCCGTTTGCGCTTTTTCTTTGAACGCTATCAATCAGGTACCACAAAATGCAAATTTTAATAA